CCAAGGGCCTCCGCAGGCTTGCTAATATTCCGCTGTTGCGGGGTCTTTGATGATGATCTCGATCTTGATCGTGATCTGGAGCTGGATCTAGATGCCTGCCGCGTCTGGAGCGTCACTTCCTCTCGGTCTGAGCTGAACCAACGAGGAGGTTTCTGCTGGTGTTGCTCAAATGACGGGAAATCCTTCTCGGCATAGGTACATTCTGTTTGTCTTCGAGGCGTCTCCACTCGTGATTTTCGGGGGGCCACATTTTTCAGTTTCTTTTTGCATGATTTGTCTCCTGTAGCGTGCTCTTCACCGCATATGGCGCAGTTCAGGGCACATTCATGTTTTCGAGTAGGATCACACGTCCCACACTTGTAGCACACGTTGGCGTTCGGAGTCGGGCACACGTCGGTTCGGTGTCCAGTTGATCGACAAATCTTACAAACCTGTACGGTAGGCTTGTATGGATAACAGATCGCCTCTGCACCCATAAAATAGACACACCTGGGGAGCACGTCACCCGTAAAAGTTATTATTGCTGACTTCGAAGAGCCCAGCATTCTGGCTCTCTCTATCTTCACCCCTTGTGTCCGTATTCGTAGGTTTGCCATCAGGTCGGCCTGAGTGGTTCCGGGCGGTAGTCCGTGAACGATGCCTCGCAGCACGTCTTCTGGGTCGGCCACGTACGCATTGAAGGGGTGAATCCGTCCTCTGATTTTCAATTGGTTGATCTCTCTCAGCCTGCCTGCCACTTGTTCGTGTGGCGTGGACAATATTATGATGTTCGATCCGGGGTGGACCCGCAGCAAAAAACTTTCTCCTCCAAAGCTGTTCCGGCAGGCCTCTATCACTGCCACAGAGAGCTCGGATCCAAATAGATTTTTCACTGTGAGGCCCTTGTACGGTCTCAGGATAACCTTTATGTCTTCCTTTGGAAGGGGCGTCGGTCCTCGGCGTTTTCTGCGCTGGAAATCGCGCTTGACTTGGTTGTCCCGTGCTGCGTCGGCAAGCGGATGGCCTGCTGACTTTTCGTTTTTCTTCTCTAGTCCCTTTTCGGGTTCTTTCTGGCTTTTTTAAGGTTCTTTTTTCTTCTGCGTGAAAGGACGGTGTGCCAGCCGTCCTCCGTCCAAGTAAGAGCCAGACCCGCGTCGTCATCGTTCTTGTTATCGAGAGACGCGGCGCTGGGCGCTTGCGCGTCGTTACTTGGTTCCTCATTTGACGAGACGCTGTTCGCGTCGCTCGGTTGATTCTCCGACACCAGCGATGCGCCGGGAGGGTTTTCGTCAACGTCCATGTAGACGAAGAATTTCTAGGCGTCCTTATGCATGCATGCTCAGTAGAAACAGGGGAATGGGCCGACCTCCGTTTTCCTCTGCGCAAGACGCATAGTCCGAAAAGGAGGTTAAATGGCACTCACCATTGATTTCCAACTCGGTCAGAAAATGTCGGAGAAAGTCGGTCGAATAGTGTTGAGCCAGTCGACGCACCCGTCGCCACACCGCGCCCGGTTTAGCGTCCCGGCGCCGCCAACCGAAGCCGGTGATACGGTAAGCTGCGTTCGTGCACGTCGTATCTTCAAACGTTGATAATTTCTCGTGAAGCTGGTCCAGGTCCCAGATTTTGGTGTCCTTCAAGTCCTCGCAACTTCACGGAAAAGATGACGCACTCTTCAAGTAGACTTGAATGGAATTTTCGCCTGAAAGCGTTTCATAAAGCGGAGAGCGATGTGAGCACGTCCTCACCGCCTTACGCCACCTAGCGGATCTCCCCTTCTGGGCTGGCCTGGTACGTAGTGTTTGTTTCTGATGTGACCTTTTCTACATAGCAAATATAGGTCGTTGTCTTGGAGCTTGGTAGGACATAAACGGTCGCCACAAGTTCGCCTGACAATCTCTCTTTTCATCGTCGACAGTGAAATAGCTTCTAGAAAGTCAATGAACGTGCAGTATTATGCAGATACTACAATTAAGTGGTGTGCGTTTATCAAAAGTGGCTAACGATGTAGAGTACTTGGTACTCTACTATGGCAGAGCAAAAAGCCGTCCCGTGGGCCCTCAAGCTCAATGAGGCCGTGTTGACAAAAATTACGCCCCGAACGAGTCCACGACGGCTTGTACAAATGCACACGTTACGCACGGCGTGGATGGAGAAACATGCCTAATCATTCAGGTCTGGCTCACCAATTACGATCAAAGCGCACGAGTGAAGAACACATGAAATGACGGAACATTGATCTCTCACGCAAACTAGCACACGTATATAATTGGCATGAAACATTAAACAATGAGTGCGCGTGCGCATATTAGTATTCCTCCCAAACGCGCTGTTCTATTTGATAGAGGGCGTTTGCATGCTGTCTTGTTTTCTTGCATCTGCACTTGCACGCCTTAGCAACCCACATGCTTAGCGACCCTATAGTCAGGGGCTGCATTTTAGAGCGCGACTCTTACGCACCCATTCTTGCGTTTAGCAGCTTTGCTGTCTGTGACGTAATCGATAGAGCGAACGAGGACGAAAGAGAGCGAACGCGTGGTATGTCGGTGGTGCGAGCCACTGGCCGCTCTTCTATTTGATAGCGGGCGTTTACACGTTGTCTTGTTTTCTTGCATCTGCACTTGCACGCCTAAGCAACTCACATGCTTAGCGACCTTATATGGTCAGGGGCTGCATTTTAGAGCGCGACTCTTACGCGCCCATTCCTGCGTTTAGCAGCTTTGCCGTCTGTGACGTAATCGATAGAGCGAACGAGGACGAAAGAGAGCGAACGCGTGGCCTGGCAATAGTGGGAGCCACTGGCTTCTAACCCTCTCATCTTCCTGCTTCTTGCACGCTGGTACCCCGGTCGGAGCTCACGTACAAGCAGGGCTGGCACTTGAACAACGGCTGGCTTCACTTCTCGTATAATGGGGCTGTCGGCGTTTCGCTTGTTTCGCGACGCTTTAAATGCGTAGAGTGTTGTGCTTAGCACTCGAGCGCTGGTATCACTTTTGTGGCAATATGCAATGAATGTTACATATCCACAACTGTGCATAGTCTAATGCCCAACATGAAGCTGCATGCGCTGAGAATTCGCATGAAGCAGCATGGGCGCCACGGAGAAAACTACGCTTAACGTGTTTAAGGTCCGCACTCTTGCAACAGGGGGATGAACAACGGCGAAAAGCATTCTGGTGTGCTCGCTGCATTTTAGGGCAGAGTATCGAGAAACAAACCATAATGCAAGCAAGTCGTTTAAGTACGGTTTCCTCCCAGTGCTGTTCCGTTGGTCTTTTCAGGATGCCGCGTAGCAAGGTAAAAAAATAATAAAGTAGTAGCCTTAATAGTATCATTGTTTAAAAAAAACGTTAACCCATGGATAGAAAAGGCCACATATCTTTCTTATGGCTACTTTCGCGAACCGTCCGTGCCCCCACCTCATAGCCAAATGAGTCGTCACGTGCCTTTTTGCAGGATGTCTCGGCGGGGACGAACATCGGGCCATCGTTCCATCCGCATAAAACACCGCTTACAGTGCAATCACGAATAGTAATGCGAAAACAAGCATAGCAGTAAGCATTTTCGCGCGCATTTTTGAAGGAGGGGCAATGTTGTCAGGTAACGGAACGAGTTGATGTAACGTCTGCTAAGACGGCTCTAGTGAGTGGTTGCGTCACGAGTCCTCGATAGAGTGGCTAGTTTTAAACACCCAAATATGGATGTGAATAATTGAAACTTGATTTTACCCGCAAGTCGTGGGATCGAATCCCGGCTGCAGCGGCTGCACTTCGCATGAATTGATTGATTGATATGTGGGGTTTAACGTCCCAAAACCACCATATGATTACGAGAGACGCCCTAGTGGACGGCTAAGGAAATTCCGACCACCCGGGGTTCTTTAACGTGCACTCAAATCTGAGCACACGGGCCTACAACATTTCCGCCTCCATCGGAAATGAAGTCGCCGCAGCCGGGATTCAATTCCACGACTTGCAGGTGAGCAGTAGGGTACCTTAGCCACTATAGACCACCGCGGCGGGGTGCATTTCCAAAGGAGGCGAAAATGTTGTAGGCTGTTGCGAACGACGGACCGATCCCGCCGAAGCCACCACTGTTGCGAAAGACGGCGACGCCAACACGGCCCCGAAGGCGCCACTGCTTTCAACTCCGCCGGGAAGGTCACCAGCCGTTTGGTAGCGTATGTTTCTCAGCCCGCGACTGCTTCTGCGCAGAGCTGATAAGACGAGCGGACGAGACGACGGTGAGTTAAACAAGGTTTATGTACAGCATATATACAGAGGCGTTACAATTTCGGCACTGGGGCCGACAGAGACTCGAAGAGCCGAGCTCTCCTCTCTAATACATAGGTCAACTTTTCGCCTAAGACCGCCGACTCACACACATGTCGGCTCTCCGACATGGGGACTCCTCTCTCGTAGGACCGCCGATCGCGACGCACCGCAGGGCTTCTTTTATTTGCACCGGGTCCAACCAAAATGTCCAATCAGAAGCGCCGCTGGTCGTCAGGGTAGATTCCTCCAATGGGGTCGCCGCGCCATGCGTCAGACCACCAGACACGAGGACGCCGGCTCGCTGTCACGTGCGCAGCTGACTCAATGCACGTGGGCCAGAGGGGCGCCGCGCGTGTTCACGCCGTCGAGTTGATCGCGCCAGGCGGACTGCGGGCTGGCCTTGACCCAGATTGCCTTTTTCAGAGGCACGGACGTTTGACGAGGACTTGCTGGCATAACAAGGCCCATGTGCTCCGATTTGGGTGCACGTTAAAAAACCCCAGGTGGTCGAAATTTCCGGAGCCTTGAACTACAACTTCTCTCATAATCATATGGTGGTTTTAGGACGTTAAAACACCACATATCAAAATTTTATTTTGTTTCAAATTAACCTTTTCTCTGGCACGAAACAAGCATTACCAGGTTTCTTGTAGAGTATTTCGAGAGTCCTCATCAAGCTGTAATTAGCCTTCAATGTCCATTAGGTAATGTCGTTTCCTCCCTCATCGCGGTCCCGCACACTCCCAGCATCCGACGCCTGGTGGAAGCTGGCCTGGTCGACTACTGGTGGATCCGTGCCACAGGCGACGTAAGCCGCTGCGGCGGCTCCTCGTCCTCGTCGGGTCCCGAACAGACGGCCTCCACGCTGGCCTTCGCTGACGTGTTCGGAGTGTTCGTGCTGTGGATCGCCTGCGCCGGCATATCGAGTGTCGTGTTCCTCGCCGAGCTGTGCGTTCTGCGCGCCGACGACATGCACAAGAAGAAGCTCGCCGCGGGCGCCGCCGCTAGGGCGCGCCGCGGGCGCCGCGTGCTCCGGCTGCAGAAGTCCTCCATGGTGTCGCTGTGAGCGGTTTTCTACTAGATGTTACGGCTTTTGGTACAGGTTAGAGCGACCAGCTATATTGAAGGTAGTGTACCGTGTTATATCAGCGAAATCCCCGCCCTCAAGTATCAGCACATCAGCTCCGGACCCCCCCATGCGTGCCCTTTTGTCCGGCCCACCACCGCGCAGGACTCACCATGTAGTTACTTCTTTCTTCCTCTAAATATCACTATACCGGTGTATAAAAAATGTAAAGAATAAAACCCGTGCAATATATGACAATTCTGTTTTCCAATGTTTGCAAAGTACATTACCACCCATCTACACGCGCTTTGAATCGGCTTCAAGGCCACTGCTACCACATTCTCACGAATTGCAGGGTAGTTCAAGCCGGATCAGAGAGACCACGATGATAATGAAGATGATAATTATAATGATGATAGCGTTGATGACAATAGTGACGCGCACGAAGATAATTACGATGTTGTGGGTCTTGACGCCAACATGTGGCCAAAAAGCGGGTGCCATACTGACGCACGGCGAGGAATCCTTTCTGCCCTAACTATTCGAAAAATAGCTGTAACAGACATGCTTTTTCTTTGCGCTTTTTATCCTGCTACAGCAAACCAAATGAGGCCTGCGGAAATAATGAAGGAAAAAAAGCGAATAGTCTGACATAGTTGATTAACGCGAGAAAGTTTCATTTAACACAGTTATTAGCTAGTTTTTTATATGCCTTCCGAAGTAACCCTACAGTAAAGTGCCATCTCAGGTAGGTATTGTTAAATGTCGAGGTTGTCCGAATACACCACATTGAAAGAGAAGTGACCATTCACACGTCTGCACAATCTACAGAAATGACATTAAATTATCTTTCTTTGCTTTGCCGCAGTATAGGAAGAGAGGCAGGTGGCGCCACCAAAATGCTATGACCGGAAAACTGGCGCGAACTTCGAACATGTTTATCTTTAGAACGGTGCTTCGCGAACATGCTAATACGAATAAAAGCAGAGAAAATGTTGGCGGGGGCATGCGGATATTTACCCGATTCTCGGCCACTCAAAATATTTTTCTCCCAGAGACTCTTAATGAGTTTCCAGCAACTGAAACGTCCGTGGAGACCTCTGCGAATAATTGGGGGACAATAAGCTACCTTCCAAATTCAATGCTCGAAATAGGTTCTTGAGTTCATAAAATCATCATTATTTGAGATATTTGAGATATCAGGAATTGATAAGTGCGTTTAATAGCGTACAACATGCGCAAATTTATTTCAAGGCTGTCCAATTATATTGCAGCAAAAATATTGTGATAATACGCACCCGCAATGGCAGTCTTGTGGCTGAGGGGAAGTTTAGTGTCAGGGTCAGTGCCAGTAATAAGATCTTAATTCAAGACCTGCTTGCATAAGCCTTCATGTTTTGCTTTTGTGTGAATTGAATGAAGCATCAGGCTAAAAAAATAGTGCCTGTTAGTGGTTATGTTAATTTCGGGCAAAAAATTCGCGATTTTGACCATTTTTATAGAAAGCGGTACAATGGACAACTCGCCAACGCTTAGTGCTTTAGTGCAAGGACATATACAAAAGTATGCTTCAAAATAAGTGAATGCACATTTAATTGGTAGGAGGCTCCATTCATCTAAATAAAAATGTCCCTTGCTCTTTTTTAGCCACTAACCCTCAAAACCAGCAAAAGCACGAGGCCAACAGAAATGTGTACAATGCGTTTGATAGGGTTAAAAGCGTATTAGGAATGATTTTTTTTTCATTTTTTTGTAGTACTGAATTCTCTATTTTCTATTTCTAAAGCCATGCATTCTTCTCTGACCCTGGACTTCATGTCTCAATGTTTCTTTTTATATTATGCGCCCCCTTCTTTCCAATAGCGGCATAGTGGGTAAGAGATGAAACCAAGGAGCCAGCTAGCCAAAATTTGAGGATATACACCTACGTCTATCGACTTTGGTTAGTAAGCGTCGAGTAGAAAGTAGAAGAGTAGAAAGAGCGGTGCGGCAGACAGAGATGTGCTAGCCTAAGTCGCTTGGCGAAAAATACTTGGGCAGAAAACAAAGCTTCCAGAACGCCATTGTTGTGAATGGAAGGGAATTTAAGGCAGGGCGAGTGGACCCAACACTACAGCGTTCCTGGTGGATTACAATGTTTCACTCGTGGTGCGTATGGTAACTTCCTCTGTTCTTGTTATATATATCGGAATTCAGTCTACGTCGACCATATCTGAAGTGCAAGCAAAAGTGAGAAAGTATAGCTATTTCCGCGATTTAACGGCTGTAACACAAGGAGCTTCGCCCCTAAAACGAAGGCAAACGGCTGTTCAGATTTCTTTTCATCGTCTTCGCGCATGCTAGAATGCGTGACGTTCAGGCGTGCAGATATACATAGTTACATGCAGCCATGCAATACGTGCGCAGTGACTCATGTGAGCCTTATTTTACGCCGATGTGGCCCCAGTAGCAGCCATATTGCTGCTTCACATTTTTCCAAAACTTTTCTTGAGCGCCTCCACATCTTTTTATTGAACCTAGTCTTTGTGTACAATCAATTTATAGCGGCTGCTTTTTCATAAAGCTAATAAAGCGTGACGAAAGCCAGCAATCGAAACAACATGCAAGCTTCTTGTAATTCAAAAAAGAGGTCGCAATTCACTCTTACGAACTTGTAAAAAACATGCATGCCAACAATTTCGTAATACAGAAAAAAAGAGCATATAATGAACTCTGACATGACTCAAGGCTCGGTGCATCGAGCGTTACAAAAGTACAAGTTAAAGCAACAACAGCATGCACTTCCAAGAAAGCACAATTAAAATTGAATCTATCGCCAAGCGATGAGCGCCATGGAAACAGTCGGAGTCAATAGTGCTGGTGGATTCATGTGAGCACTGAAACGCGAATTAAACGCCAAATAAAATTTCCTTGGAAACGTTATTGTTTATGAGCCTATTACAACAATCACGCGAAACATGCTGCAGTGTCTTGTATATGTAGGGGCGGCGTAAATGTTTTTTTTTTAAAACAACATTAGCAAAAACGAAGGGTATGTTTATTTCAAAAAGGCGGTTGCGATTCTCGGGCACCAAATTGCTCCCGTCCTATTGTGTGCTGGCACAGCCCATCGCTTCGAATATGTTCTCTTGCTCATAGCAACCAACGCTTTCCTCGTTTTTAGCCGGTAGCAGCTTTGGAAAGTGCTGATCTCAGGCGTTCTTCGATGTTTTGATAAGCCTGTTAACCATCAAGTGTCAAAACGATGTGCCGAATTTGCCGTAAGCTGTTCTCGAGCAATAAAAACCATTGCGCCCCAAAAACCACACGTCGACAGATGGGAGCAACAAGCGAAGCGTGCGAGAAAGCAGGGCATTTCGCTGCCGGAAATGACCAAATTAAATTCAGGAACAGCGCAACCTACAAGTAGTTACTTCGTAACTACGGAAGCGAAAAAACAAGGACAGAAAAGAGCGCTGGCTTTCAACCTCTTTTCCGCTGTTCCTGAATTCAAGTATGTCCTACCAACTTGCCCAAGCTTCCACGCTTCATAAAATCGGAAATGACCATGTGACCTGAAAAAAGGACACACGAAGGCACGTGCAAAAGGGCGGGGTGTCTAACGCGCATCGGCGAATAGAAAACGAACGTAGTAATTATTTCTTTCCACGGACTTTATACATGCACCGCAAGCTCCCGTGTTGACGCAAAACATGCTCACGACTGTAGACTGAGAAGTGTCTGCCATGTATTCCATAAACTCATTGCTTGTAAAAAAGTTCAAATAATGTAGAAAAAATATGTGACCTTTTTTTTTGTAGCTGCCAGTAAGGTAGATAAAACATGCACCCCCATGTGGAGAAGTTATCAGCAGGTAATAGGCAAAATTTGGAAGCACGTTTGCCCTGTAAAATATACGACAAAAATTTAAAGGCTGCGGAACTGGCCTGGCATATGGCATTTGTTTCTAATGTGGCTGCTTTTACGTAGGGTAGATAGGTCGTTGTGTTAGTGCTTAGAGGCACATAAATGGTGCCGAAAATTCACCATGCAATCTCTGCTTTCATTGTCCAAAGTGCGAGAGCACACCGAATCAAATGACCGTGCAGTACTATGTAGGTACTTGAATGAATGAATGTGCATAATTGTTGAGGTCTGGCACACTGATGATGATAGAAGTGCACGCGTGAAGATTATACAAAATACCGAAGCACCTACCCCTCGCGCAGACCAGCACACCTGCATAATCGACATACAGCCCTATCTGCAAGAACGCGTGCGCAGATAAGTAGTAGTGTCTGCTCTCCTTTCTGCTGCAACACGCCCTTTTATTTGACAGGGATCGTTTACACGTCACGTTTTCTGGAGTCCGAACTTGCACGCCTTAGCCGATTACATGTATATTTGTGAGCCAAATGGGGCACCGTCTTTTATAGCGTAGCTCTTTGCGCCCGTTCCTGCGCCTAGTATATAGTTTCGCCGAGGTCATCGTAACCGATACAGCGAGTGAAAATGAAAGAGAGCGAACACAGAATCTGTCGATATCAGGAGCCAATGGCTTCCAACCTGCCTTCCTTTCTCCGTCTTGCGAGCTGGTCCCTCGGTCGGAGCTCGCGCGCCTGCAGGGCTGGCAGATGCACTGCGGCTCGCTTTGCTAGTCTCAACGGCGCGGTCATCGTTGCCTTAGGTTCATGACGTCTGCAAATCGTGGTGTTGTGCGTAGGATTCGAGCACCGGCAGTTTTTGTGGCAATATGTAATCACTGTTGCATTGATACAGCTGCACATAGCCAAAACTTCACAGTTCCCGTTGCCCCAACATGAAACACGATGGGATGATGGGTGCATGCAGGGACGGCTCGTGCCCTGCGTTTGACTGCGGTTTTATTAACTGGGCTGACATCGTTTCGCTTGGTTCGCGATGTTTTAAATGTATAGATGGTTGTGTGCAACACTCGAGTGTCGGTATACGTTTCGTCGCGATATGTAACGAATGGTATTTTACAGTAACTGCGCATAGCA